TTGCACTGGAAGATGGCAACGGGCCACGATATCTGCCAGACTATCCAGCACAGCGCAAAGAGGCCCCAGAGGATGTGTCGGTATATCTTCCTCGTGTCTTTGGCAACCCGGAGCAGCGTCCAGATAATGCTGGACTTGATGAGGGCACCGTCCAGCACGTAGAGGAACTGCCAGATAATCGTCCACAATCCGATCTGGTACATCATGCCGACGGTGATAACATCATCGTGGGACCCGATTCCTCTGTATGCAAGCACGATAACGGACGCATTGTGTCCAAGGTTGATGATCTGCGAGAAGGTTTCAGCGATCTGGGTTTTCCATCAAGAGACAGCTTGGTAACTGCCGCGCAGAGACTTACCCATCCTGCAAGCATCAACCAGTCCTCGGTAGAAAAGGACTTCAGCGTGATGCGGACGTGGAAACGTAGACACACCACCGCGCTGGACAGGACGGTCATCACAACCGCCACCACCAGCATGATGAGCGCCAGGCCCTCGGGCTGGATAGGCTCGAACTTGGTCGTCATCAGATCCTTCGCCATGGTTGCGGTTCTGTTCAGGCTGCCCGCTGCACCCCGTCGTGTGTGGTTGGACTGTCTCCGAGATAGCTTCGCGGTTCGAGAAAACTTTCGCAGGAGGGGCTATTCCGACGAATAAACGGGGAACGACGTCTTTTTCAGCATTTATCCATGGTCCGCCTTGGGTTAGTGTCCGCGGGATACGGTTCCTGCTAGCATAATAAGTTAATAACCCGAATGGTCTTTCTCCAGAATCCCATAGGGGATCATCACTTCCCAAAGAAGGGAGATGTGGTGCCATTAAGGGGGCGGCTGGAAACGGGGCTGTCTAGTAGGGCATCAAACAACGAATTTCTCACCGATGACCGATCAAGACGAGATATCCACTCCTCCTCATGAAGACGGTACAGGGTGGTGGGACAGACAGGAAGGATGTCCCAGGGTTCCGAATCCTGTTGGCTTCACGCCCCCTGCAGGTCTGCGTACGCGTGTAGGCGAGACGCATAATCCCGTCGCGGCACGGTAGCCAAAGACGGAACGCTGGCGGATTACAACCGTCCAGCCAAGATGTACGCCAAGATTCTTCAGCGGCAGTTTCTTGTTCTGCAGCGGCAGTTTTCTGTAGCGGCAGCCCTCTCGTGGGCTTTTACCGCAGCTTGTCATCGTATGCTCCCCACGCGAGGTGCATTTACTCATCGAAGTCGAGACTATTCCGCGGATACAGGCGAACCCCATGCAAGGCACAATTTCCCAGCAGACCGGAGTATTGCCCAATTTGAGTTTCCGTGTTGGGGGCGGCCGTACCGAATCAGGACTGGAAACCAGCTCGTCGGGTGGGATCATTGTCGATTGTTACTCGCGACTCGAGCTGTTGGTGCCGGTTCCACTCAAATGTGCCGGGTTTGACTGCATCTTCCACATTCCGGACGGGGAGTTAGAGAACAGCACGCTGTAGCAACGTACGAATAGGAAATTGAGCGGTATCTCTACATAAAGACGCGGTAAACGCGGGGTTGATACTGGAGGCTAGGCGGTGAGGAAGGGTGGTGGTGTTATATATTGGGAACACCTTCCGCTCTTCTGGGCTGTCGGTGCAAACTACAACCCAAACCCCTCGATACCACCAGAAAAGGCTGACCGCTGCAACACACCCCGAAGATGTCGACAACTACGACCGAAGAGCTCCCCGTCCTGCCCGAGGGCATCACCCCCGAGTGGCTCGGAGCCAAGCTTGGCCACAAGATCAAGTCGTTCGAGAACACACGCAACATCTGGGGCACGGGCAGCAAGCTCTTCTACACCATTACGTACGAGGACGGAAACGACGCGGACGAGTCCCGCCCCAAGCATGTCTGCATCAAGGGCGTCTTCAGCAAGGAGATGGTCGAGCAGCAGCCTTGGACCGTCAGCCTGGCCCAGCGCGAGGCCGAGTTCTTCTCCAAGATCGCGCCCACCGTCCAAGGAAGCATGATCTTCCCCAAGGGCTGGTGGAGTGGCACGAGCGAGAAGCAGGGCATCGCCGTCATGACTGACCTCGTTCACGAAGGGTGCACCTTTCCCCCGGAGGTCGCCGCTTACTCAGTCGAGAAGGTGAAGAATGGCGTGGAACAGCTCGCCGGTCTGCATGCGCAGTACTGGGGTAAAAGCCAGGAAGACCATCCCTGTAAGACGATCCCCATTCCGCTTCGTTTCTTTCACTGGCGCCTTTCTCGCTCCCTAGGGCGGCGGCCGCTCCCTTTTGATCACCGTTTAGAGGAAATCATAGTCTGACCGATGGGCAGGGATCTGGAATAACTACGACCCAGCAATGAAGTTTATGTGTACGCCATGGCACGACGTGGTCCGCGAACCCGGCCGTCCCAAGCTGCCAGAGTACCTGATGGACGGCGCGCGATGTAACGAGGCGCTCGACCGGTACTACGCCGAGCGCAACCCCCGGTTCCGCACGCTTCTTCACGGTGACACGCATCTCGGAAACGTCTACTTTACCGGCGATGGACGTATCGGCTTCCTCGACTGGTCAGCTTTCCACTTCGGATCGTGCTTCCACGACATCGTCTACCACATGACAGCCATGCTTACCATCGAGGACCGCCGCGCCCACGAGATGGAGATTCTCGACCACTACCTTGAGACCCTGCACCGCAAGGGCGGTCCCAAGTTCGACCGCAACGACCCCGAGCTGATGATCGAGTACCGCCGCTCCTTCATGACCAACGTCATCTGGCTGATTTGCCCCGACGCTCTGCAGACCAAGGAGCGCGTGCACACTCTCTGCGAGCGCACCGTTGCTGCTTACAACGACCACAAGGTCATCGACGTGATCCTCGACCAGCCCAAGCCGTCGGTCGCGGCATGAAGCAAATGAAGCCAAGAAATTCGTCGACGCGGGGGTCAGGAGCCGGCTGCAGGCGGATGACTCGCGAGAGAGGAGAAGTGTTACTACTTTTGTTTATGCGGCAGTGACAAATGCTGGGACTGGAAGGCAAGAAAATCACTCGCGGCTGGGGTGGAAAGGTTTCCAACCCATTTTGGGAAGAGGAAGCTGCTTGGGCAGCCTGTTGGCTCAGGGGCTAGATGCACATGTGAAGTTGAACGCACGATTGTGGAGAGACATCATGTAGACGAGTTGAAGAAGTGGTATCCCGCCCGACCCACATGCGGCCATCGATTTGGTGCTGACTGGAGTCTGCCACCAACACGGAGTTCAGCAGACAAGGGGGGCACCAGCAGGGGATGTTGAGCTGCCTCAGCCTGCATGGGCCAACGTGGACGGATGATCGCCAGGGATATCTAGCCCAGACACGGTAGCGAAGACTTCATTATCTGTCAAAACAATATAGCCGAGTTTCTGGTCGACTCGAAAGGCTCTGTGCCTTGAAGATAATCACGAAATGTGAACGGGCGGTTGGGTCGACAGGTGATTTTGCCAGCAGGATGGCCCCGCTTGCCTAGCTTCCGGCCGTTGGGGCTTGGCTTGTGCGAACAACAAGACCCTTGTCTACGCTGGCAGGCATGGCTCGAGTCATGAGCGAGTCCCAGAGCTGGGGTTCCGGGCACACGGAGTGATCCGGGACTCATCTGCGCAACGTGAGCTTTCTTCTTCTCCAGGTCCAAACGGGTCGCAGCAAGCCACCTGGTCGTGTCAGGTTCACCGTAGACCCCCAGCGTTAATTTCCTTGCAAAACCCGATAACTTCGTAAAGGGCAGATCAATTGGCGGAGCGTACTCTTCAATGACTGCCAGCGCATGGTTTCGGGGAATAATGTCAAAGGGATTACAGTTTGAGCAGGAATTCTCCTTAGAGAGTGTCATTCGCGTGGTCAACATCGAAAGCTTGTCTTCAAGTTAGCCGAAGGTCATCCCAGGTCACCCAGGAAACAATTCATGGGAATGCCCTGGGTACAAGAGTTGGCATGTTTCCAGATGGTATGGTGCCTTTCACAACGATAATTGTGCGTATTTGGCAGACGGACTTTGAAAAGTGACCGGGCACCCGAGAATTATGTGATCTACCATGAGTTCTATTCTTAAAGATGTGCCACCTAAATTCTAACACAAGCACCACGTTGTCCAATAGCTGAAGGCAATGGTATCTTGGAGCGAAGAAGGACCCCTGATTCCAGACATTATTTGATATGTTGATGTGAAAGGTAATGCTACCCAGTTCCAACGCATCGTAACATGGGTGATGGGGCGTTGTGAATGCCCCATTCGTGCTCCACCGGGGATGCCATCCGTTCGGGGGCTAACTACTGCGGTAGGCTAGCCTTTTTGATCCAGCCAGGGTTCGCTTCGATATTGCTCATATTGACTGCGTGGAACCACGGAACCGGATAATTCGAGATTTGTGATGAGTGCTAAAAAGAACAAAAGGGTCGAAGGAATGCGGCAGGATGCCGGTGAAAGCGGCGCAACGGAGTGGGATCGGCATGATCAGACGACAGATCTTTGCCTCATCCAAAGCTGAAGGCCGGCAGCTGGGTTCGGCGAGGCGGCGAGAAGGCGGCGCACCGGGCGGGCGGTTTAGCTCCCGCGACCGAGCGTGGTTCGTCTTGTGCCCAGTGCTGCAACGTCGTGAATTCATCGTCGCATCGCAAAGCACTGTCGTCTACCCATCAGATCTACCCCCTCTTACTTAGTGTCTAATCGAACAGTTTATGATTTTCCTTACATCGCACAAGGTAGTAGGACAGACTCATCTTTGAGAGAAACTTCAGGTGAGACCCATCTGACACAGTAGACATCAAGTTTAAGCACAATTTGCTAGACTGCGAGTAGATTAACGTTTTTGTGCAGTTTCACAAGAAGCCAGCTTCATTTCTTTTACGGGGTAGACTTCGTCTGAATATTACGCATATCCCACCTGTTTGTTGCTGGAACTGCTATGAAATAAATGCAGAGCGCCCATCTGGCAATGCATGATATCGGTCGACCGTCCGTTATCCTTTTCGTCTTTATAACAAATGAGATTTCGATAATGGCTTCGCTTAATGGCCTTTGCATCATTGTTGCCGGTGGTGGCGGCGGCATTGGATCCATCACATCTCAAGTCCTAGCAAAACGCGGTGCCACAGTCGTCATTGGCGACATAGACGTCGACGGCGCTACAAGGGTAGCCAACAAAATTACTGAGGCTGGCGGAAAAGGTGCATCCTATCACTTGGATTTGAGGACTGAAGATTCCATAAAAAGTGTCATCGAGACGGCGGCACGACAGTTTGGACGAATCGACGGCATCGTCAATATGGCGGCATGTACGCAACCTGGAACTATTGATATGGACGTGGCCGTCGACGAGATGCGTCATACGGTCTGGCGGGAAATTTTGGAGGTGAATCTGATAGGTTTTGGCCTCATGACGAAACATGCGATACCGTACTTGCTGCGAAACGAAACCGGGGGAAGTATTGTAAACATTTCGTCTGGTGCTGCGCATGCTGGTGAGCCGACACGTCCTGCGTACGGAGCGTCTAAGTCCGCTGTGCATGCTCTCACCCGCCATACGGCGCGGAAATGGGGACCTCAAGGAATTCGGGCTAACGCGATTATGGTTGGACTCGTCGGAACGACGCAAGTGAGGGAGCTCTATGCAGAGCAGCCGTATCTACGCGAAGCAATCATGAGCTGCCCATTGCAGCGCATGGCAGAGCCGGATGAGATTGCGACTGTCATCGCATTTCTGCTATCGAGAGATTCCTCTTATGTGACTGGCCAGGTTTGGGCTGTAGATGGGGGATATCTCTTTCGTGAATAGGAAAGCATTTGGCAGATATACTGAATGACTGCGACATGAGCCTGTGATTTTATAAGGGCAGGGGGAGTGAAGATTTCGCGAGATTACGCCGCGTTGCATCGACCTCGTGGTCGGCCCTGGCGACAGATACAAATTGGCCGTTATTCATCCCGGCAGACACTCAAAGGCCATACATCTGCAGTCTACGCAATAACCTTCTCGCCAAACGGTCAGTAAGTGGCGACAAGATAGTACAGCTATGGAACACGGCTACAGCCACAGCTAGCACACACTCGATGGCCATGTGCGCCAAGTGTACGCAGTAGTCAGCCTTCTCGCCGGATGGTCAGGTGATAGCGTCAGCGTCGTGCGACATAGTGCGGATCTGGGACGTAGCTTCAGGCGTAGCCCAGCAGAGGCTCGAGGCCCATGAGAATACAGTTCTCGTAGTGAAGTTCTCACCAGATAGCCGGGTGGTAACATCAGCATCAGCTGATATAACGGAACGGCTGTGGGATGTAGCTATAGGCGCGGCTCAGCAGAAGCTTGAGGGTCATAGAGAACTAATCTATTATGAGACGTTCTCTCCGGGCTGTTTGGCAGCCGAGTCACATTCATCTGGAGAGATGATATCGTCTCTTTCAATCAGTGGAATTGGTATTAGTTCCGACGGCGCTTGGATTGTGGAAGGGAAGATCAAGACCCTTTGGGTCCCCGATGAGTACAGACCAATAGCCTCGGCCACAAGTAGTTCAGTCTTGTGCATGGGGTGTAGATCAGGGTGTGTTACCCACGTGGTAGCTACGAGTCCGTATCTCTAGCAAAACCGTGGGCTCAAGACCAATAATTCCCTGAATATTTCGGCTTTTGAGCAAGTTGGATGACTCTAAGGGCCAGCAAATCTACCTATGATCTGCGCAAAGAACATCAAGAGTTGAAAGAATGCCGCAGTAGGCCGGCAGAAGTGGTGTATCAGTGTTCGATCACTGTGGACCGAACATTTTGGGGAGGCGTGGACAAGGCCAACAAGCAACTTTCGCGTTTCGTAGTCTCAAATGGTTAAGCCCATTGTAACCTCTCTAAGAATATACTTCAACCAAAGGCAAGAAGACTGTCCCGAGCCCCAGGAGAGTAGTTGCCAGGCATCAAGAACGACTGACGTTTGGAAAGTATCGAGAGAGCGTACCTTGTTTATTATCCAACGAGGGCCTTCATAATTGCGAGCAAATTCAACTCAACATGATGCGCTTTTCTTCTTCAAGTGGCACGTTTTTTCAATTTAAATGGTGGTTAATTGACAGTACCCGATATTAAGCCAAAGTAGTTTGTAGCACCTTCGAAGTCGTTTATGACGGCCGAAACTCGCCAATGATCAGCCTTTGACCATGATAAACTGCAAATCCATACAACGGCACTTCTTTGAGTATATCAACGCACTTGAGTAATGACTGCGACCATGGTATTGCCCATGGACAAGAGAAATGTGCTGGGAAGAACGCCAACAACAGTCAGAGCCCACTGCAACTTGCGTAGGTCTGCCATCGAATCTTTCTGGAAAGCCCATGTTACTGAAATTGAGCTCATCACAACTTTCCAAAGCCTTTGGATTGGCACGACTGACGAGAAAGCCGGGGAAGTTCCGTGGCGAAGGTGACGAACGCGTGGCAGGGGAGGCATCGCCTGTGGCCTTAGTCTCTCTCGGCCGGCTGGTTTCGACAGTGCTTTCGTCCGCACCTTTGGTGCGCTTTGGTTGGTGCCATGATGGACAAGTTATGATGGTCAATTTGCCTTAGACCGAGCATACCCATCATGGCGTATTTTCGGCCGACTGCAAGGCTGTCCAGCATTGTCTGCTCAACGGTGCCAAAAACAATATCCAACGCTAGAACCGGCTTTCCTGGTACTTCTGAGGCTTTCTAACGACCCAAATTGGATTCCGCAATAACGACGGAGACTCCAAGATCCAAAATTCATGGGATTATTCGTCGTCTCGGTCATTTCGACACGTCAATTTCGACACGGTCCCTGACGACAATGGCTTTCCTGTTACCCCGCTTCCAAGCAAGCTGCACAAAGCATTGAGCCACACCGCTGGTGCCAGCAGATATGATAACCCAGTTTCCTTCAACAAAAGGTGTCACCTCCTCGCAGAGGAGCCAGATGACCATGATGCCGGATCTCATGAGAGATGCCGCCAGCGGCGGCGCATCACTCGGCAGCTTCAGTAACGAGCGTGCCTGGAGGATAGCATGGGAGCGTCATGTCCCCAGTCCAAGCTCGCAGCAGGTGATTACCACGTCGTCCGTCGCGAATCGGCTACTGGTTGACTCGACCATGATGGCGCCGCCCTCGAACCTGAGAACGGGCCACACATCCACACTGAATCGTGGCTTGACCGGATGAACCATGAGATCGACAGTGTTCAATGGAACGGCAAGAAATCTGACCAAAACCCGGTCTGGGGCTTAACCAATCGATGAGATGTCATGAGTGACGAGCCGGGGAGCTGGCTTTCAACCAGGCTCTTTTTGAACGAGACCTTTTGTCATTGAGAGGAAACTCATGGGGTTCGATGGACTTGGTTGACTTCTGTTTGAAGACTGAGGAAGATCAAGGTGTGAGTGACTGAGGCTTGAACACATAGCTTCCCCTGTCAAAGCCCTGTCAAACAAATGATGAACCGTGTGCCTGTCCAGCTGTGACTGCCAACTGGTAGTACGTACGTCTTGTTGGTTGGCTTTAAGCTCGCAGGCATCTCAGCCTCAAACCGGAGGGATGTTGTAAAGACTGTTAAACCTTCGTATACACGAAACGAATCTTATAGTCCTGACTCTGAATCTCCGTGGAACGTCACACTCTATACTGAGCGCGACAATTGTGAAGGCCATCAACTGGTGTCGAGTTTGTTGAAACACCCGGCCCACCAAAGACACTGGCATTACCCCGCGATTCTAGTCCGATCATATCGCACACGCCATCGTGATTAGCAGCTACGCTATCTGCGGCCTAGCTTCCCACAGCAAAACCCCCATTTTTCGTCTTAAAGTTTACTCGGGTAATTGTGAATCAGGCACAGGCTACTACTCATGGAGCTCCGTGTATCACAATGGCGTTGAGCTGCACTCGCCTAACCTGCCATTATTTGCGGAGTAATCCACAGCAACCCTTATGCCAGCAGCTTGAGAACGCCGAGCATTTCCGCCTCTAAAGATGGGCTTCTTCTCCGCCTCGCTCTGCGGCAAGCCTTTCTCGGTCCTTTGCCGTTCAAATTGTAGTAAGTCAACTCGGAAACGTATGGGGTCAGCGCCAACTCAACGACGAAAAAGCGGTTGCTGGACATGTCGCTTACGTCGAAAAAGGTGCAGTGAAGGAGGTCCTCCTTGTGTCAACTGCGTCGACCGACAGGTCTACTGTCACGGTTATGGTCCTAAGCCGGAATGGAAGGACAAGGGCGAGAAGGAACGTCAAGAAGCAATACGCTTGCAGTTGAGGACGCCAAATGCACCACGCCGCCGCATCTCTTCGGTCACCCACAGCAGATCACACGTACAATCAACGCAGGCTGTCATTTCTGCAAGCGGGATGGATGCTGGTTCCCTCATCTCTCCACCTCTGGAGCGCGCACTCAGCACATGCTCCACTGATGTTGAAATCGACCTCTCTCTTGATGTCGACCTAGATCGGATTTTGTTCGGCGAGGAGTGGTCAACCTTTGAACACCACAGGGTGAACACCCTTCCGGTTCAGCCTGCGTCTCTCCCTACACCTATAACACCCAATGTGAGGTTCTCTCTTGCGACTTGCGAACCACATCTCACCCATCAGTCATCCGAGAGGGAGATGGATCTGGTCATGCAATATTTGGATCATGTCTTTTCTCAGGCACAAGGACCACACCTGAACCAGCCTCGTGGCTGGCTTCTTTCCGCTCTCATGGCGTCGCCCGGCTTCTACTTTGCAGCGATCGGCATAAGTGCATACTGCCAACACCATGACGCACAAGGAGATTCTGTTTTGCAGGCGACAGCCTATCACGACTATCAAAGTTATCGAACTCGCTCTTCTAAAATCTTCTCGGAAGGTTCTTGGGGTAATCTTCCTGGGGAAGCTTTAATTTGCGCAGTACATCTATACCGCTTGGAGGTGAGTTTAACTTCCTGTCCCTCATACGGGTTACTCTGACCAACTGACAACCGATAGACACTCTCAGGGGATACCCCAAAAGCTCAGCAATATTTCAAATCTGCCTTGACAGCAATGAGAGACCTTGAAAGTATTGAGAATTCCCAATCAGCCATGCCGGTGCCACCTGTGTCATCGGCCATCTCGCCACACTCAGTCGGGCCTGACCTCTTTCTCCCATCCAGCAAGGCCATGGCATATTCACAATGCCTCCTGGCTTGGACTGACATCCTGACCTGCTCGCTTCAGGGAGTGCTGCTTGACAATATGGAACTATACAATAGACTATTGTTAGACGACAATTTCTGCTCCATGTTTCGGACAGCAACAGGCTGTGCATTATGGGTGCCTAAGTGTTACGACCTATAGATAAGGATAATAGCTGAACGACCTACTTAGGTGTTAGGCGGCTAGGGTAGGATATTTATACTATAGGATTATAAGAATAATAGGAACTCACTTAGTATAGAAGAACTATAGTATAAGTTATATAATAATAAAATAGAGAAATAATTAGTAGAGTATAAGATAGAACGTTTAGTAATTAGTTAGTATTACTAACTAATTATAATTACTTTATATACTTAGGTAATTACTTCTAAATAAATAAAGAATACTATTTAGAACTTATATATAGTATAACTTAAGCTTAGTTTAAAGTTAGACTCCTATAGCTTTTTAGTAATTAACTTAGTATTTATTTTTAAAATACTTTTAGCTTATTTTTACTATAAATTACTTATTAAGCTTAAGATTAATTATTTTAGTTTTTAAAAACTTAATCTATTATAGCTTATAACTTATAACTTAGATTATAACTTAGTATATTATTAGAATAT